TGAACCATTGTTGACACTAACGATTGTTCAAAACATTTCCATAAAGTTTTCCTTTGATATTCTTTGTAGATACAGAGGCATTGTTTCACTTCTTGTATTCAAACAGCATTACATGCCGAATGTGTGTCTTGTCGTGTGTCATCACTACAAGGGATGAGAGTATACAAAACTTTACACATTATATAGGCTACACTAATGTGACGTGTAGGGGGTTCATTTAACTATTATACATGATGTATGTTTTTTGGAGGGTGGTTAATGAATGTGTTCCAAAATGCGACATTAATGTCTTGACAACTTAATATAATCATGTGAAATGTGAGATTTTTTTACAATCACCATGTATATGTAATATTGCTTGATACATAGTAGAAAAGTAAGGAAAAGTAAGAAGTACTTATGTCGGTTTCTTGTTGAAACTCTCTTCTAATGCTATATTTTTTGTATCCATTCAAAAAAGTAGAATAAGAATTAACCATTAAAGTAGCTTTCAAAAAATATATATAATGCTGTGATATATAACAATCAGTCTGTATTATTGTGTTTTTACTATTCAGGCAGTGGCAGAAACCATACCTTCCTTGGTGCAGGGAATCAAGGCTACTATAAAAGAACCAGATAATGCCAATAATCAGCTCTTCTTGATCAATGCATCGGAACAAATGATTCAGGTAAGATTTTACAATCCAACTGAGTTTAACTCGCTACCTATTTAACTTCATCACAAGTTTGTTTATCGGTATGTTATTGTTGTTCTTACAGCCAACTATTAAGATGATTTCTGCATCCAAAGCAGCACTTCCAACAATCACCGACTCTTCTTCAGCAAACCAATTGAATAGTACTTCTAGAGATATGGCCAGTGCATTGTCAGAGCTTCGTAGTTCCCTGGCAAAGGTAAAATATTATGTTGCTTTTTATTTGTTTAAAATCTGGAATCCTGATTGTTTATTTTAAACTTATAAATGGGTGAATTGCAGAAATAAATGTTTAATTCTATTACATATGTGTATTACATATTACATAAGTTATGGTTATCCTTCATGGCTGTAAGTTTCTCAATAGATGAAAAAAATTAACTCAAGAAAAAGAAAATTGTACTAAATTATGTTAAAGAGTAAAAATATAGTTTGTTTTTTTACACCACAAACTGTGATTATGCATATTTTTGTACACCATAAAGTGTGATTATACATGTTTTTTACACCATAAAGTGTGATTATACATGTTTTTTGCACCATAAATTGTGATTATACATGATTTTTTTACACCATAAATTGTGATTATACATGTTTTTTTACACCATAAACTGTGATTATACAGTTGAAAATAATGGTAATGTACATTAAAATTTTTCAGGCGCAGGAAGCATGTGGGATACTTGAACTTGATAGTGCTCTGGATCTTATCAACAGCTTAAATGATGAACTTGATGCTTTCAAAAAAGCTGTGAAGGCATTTGACTTGAAACCTTTGCCTGGAGAAACAGTAAGTAAATAAAAACAATCTTTATAGTTGCTTCAGTGTATATACTTAACCCATTGCTTGCTGATTCACTGTTTTGGGAATAGTCTGACTTAAACAGTTGAATGCAAGTGTGTCATGTATGGTGTATGGCTTTCAAAAATTCCACACACGTTTAGAGCAGCTGCAGTCAAAGAGTTAAAGTTTGGTATTTGTTTACTATTTCAACACGATGAAGATGATAGCGAAAAATAAACCTTTTATTCATGATTATTATCTTGTGTTTTTTCATAGTGTAGTGTTTATATATTAAAATTTATTTTATTTTTCATCTTTAATACGTTACATTAAACATAGCACATAATTGTTTTTGATGAAAAATGCTGAAGATGGATTATGTGTAATCCAAAACATCCCAGCTAAAATGTTTATTTTCTCTGTCATTTTGATCTTGTTTAGATTATGATTCCCTACAAACAAACCCATTGCCAGTTGCTTACTATTTGTATTTTGCGTAGTCTGAATTTGCTACATAGAACTATTTATTTTTACTCCTTTGTTAAAAGCAGACAAATTACATTTAATTAGGTTTTTCAATCTTAGTATGACTTTGAGTCACTCGACAGACATTTTGACTTCAGAGTTTTTCAAATTGTTTAATTCAGTGGGACTTTGATTTAGTATGATTTTCAGCCCTAGTGTGTCTCACTATAGGTGTGACTTTTGTTTTTATTTGTAGTTTTAAATTCATCAATATTTACTTGTTAATTAAAAGAAAGGGTAATTTGCAAACACTATTTTTGTCTAGAAATCACTTAAAATGACACTGACTGTACATAAAATTAACTGTGCTGTAAACATCAATGACTATTTATAAATTATATATGTAAATAAAATATATCATTGTGATTAAAGTGCAAACTAGTTCATATGATAATTATATGATCAAACATATCTTTTTAGCCTGGATCGAAAACTACAATACATATTAAGTCATAAATGCTTTTGTTCTACATTGCTTATAAAAAAAATAGTTGTCATCTGTTAAATGGAAAAAATGGTAAATCTCACACCATTACTAAGAAGGTTTGCAGTCTGTATAAACTGAAACTTAACAATATTTAGCAGTGTACATACCTAATTTTTTCTTCATCGAGGCCTCTTTTTTCTTTTTCTCAACAGAATGAGTCATCAGCACTTCAACTTGGAAGCACTTCTAAAACAGTTGGATCCTCAATAGCTCAACTGCTTACAGCAGCTTCTCAGGTATGTAACCATTATTTGTACTCTAGATTATCAGTGTTACCAGTTGCCTTGTTTTTTTACTTCCTTTGATGATTTTTACAAAAACCCGCTAACAAAACTGACAAGAGAATTATTTTTTACCACAAATTTCCTACTGAGCTAACCCTCAGTGTAGAAGCTGACACTTGTTTTATCAATGGTATGTAAAGGTACCAAAAGATCTACTAAAGTGTCAGGATAAGTGGTTTGACCTGCATTATTGAGGTGATTAAAGAAAAGGTGGATCTTCAGTCATTCATTTTTTTGTTACTTTTTGACAGTTGTATGTAATAAATATGAAGGAATGTATAACAGTAGTATTATATAAAAGGTCTGTATGCCAATACAAAACGTTATGATAAAAACATTAGAGAGGAAATCTGCCTATTAAAAACAAACGTCTGAGTCATATTGACTGGAGTTTATCAAAATGTAAAGTGTGAGTTCGTTTTTTATATTTAGTGTTTATTTTTTAGATTTTACACTACCTATGTAATCAAAAGGAAACAAATCAGTTTTGGGGAACAAATTTTCTTGAAAATTTGATGCCTCTGGTATTCACTTTCTGTTTGGAAGGTAATATTTTTAATACTGATTGTATTTCAGTAATTGAATAATCACTACAAGCAGCTTGAATATATTCTTTAAGGTAGTGTTTCTCAAAGTGGCTGTTCCAAAATGCAAGTAACTGATTTGCAATGTCACAGCCAAGGCCTTATGAGAAAACAGAACAGGTGAGGTAGGACTGGTAGGTGGTCTGTGGGGTTATTTTGCTCCACCAAAGTGGTCTGCTAAAGAAATGGTTTGAGAACCACTGCTTTAAAGCTACTGAACTCATAATGACAATTATGATAGTGAAACTTATAAATGACCAAATAAAATTTAAGCATTATTCTTATAGGCAAGATGTAAAAATGTACATTTGTCTTAATTTGTAGGGCAATGAAAATTATACAGGAATTGCAGCTCGAGATACTGCAAATGCTCTTAAGGTCCTCACTGGAGCTGTAAGAGGTGTGGCTGCCACTACTTCTGAACAAGACATCCAGTTAAAGGTTATTGAGAATGCCCAGGATGTTATGTCCAAGTCTGCTCAGCTTATTGAAGAAGTTCGAATATCTGTTCAAAATCCTACTCATCCTGAAAATCAGAAAAGATTGACACAAGTAAACTGTCTATTTTATTTTTATTAGCATTACAGCATTTTGATCATCCAAGTCTTTATTAGTATATGTATGTCTGCTAAAGGTATGATATATTTTTTATTATACTTTCAAAGCCATCAGTATTGACAATGACTGGTCCATGTTAAAAGAACAGTTGTCACCTGTTAAATGTTTTATTCACCACTGTACTGGTTCAGGTTTTTTACGGCATTAAGAAAAGAAAATCAAGAATATATTACAAGCTTCTGTAATTTTAGTATTAGTTCAAAGACCTTGAGTCACATTATAAGAGATTGTGACTTCAATATTTATCAAATTGTTAGGCTTATTAGAACTGTGATTTTTGTACATTTTATTTTGGTATCATTTTCAGCCCTTATATGCCAATAAAATGCAATGATATATAATTAGATGAATGTAAAGTGTGAGCTTACTATTTATTTGGCATACTTAGTTTCAGATGTTTATTCTTTAGATTTTTACTGTACCAATAATGTGTGTGTATGTATGTATATATATATATTTTTGTGTGTGTTTGTGGAGCGGGAAAGAGAGCTTTACACGTTTTGTTAATAGTTTATGTAGCTAAGAACCTGCATTTCACCATAATTTTAAAATAATTAGTTATAAATGTACCATTAGAAAAAGAAATTCTGGTTTTACTTATTTGTTGAGTGAATTCAGGTTTGTCCAATCTGTTGTCAGAAATAAGTTCTTGCTACTTTCTGCTTAAATAAGTAACATTTTTCATTGTATTTTAGTTAGTCTGAAAGTCCTCTCTTCATGATGAACCAAAAGTAAAACAAATATTACAATACAGTCTTTTTTTTTTCAGGAAATAAAAATGTATCAAAAAAGTTCAAAAGAAGATAAAATATTTTGATAAATTACAAAATACTTAACTTACTGTTGGTTAAAAATAAAAAAAATAGTTAAAATTATTTGTAATTGCTTAAATAGCTTTCATTGTGTTTTTTCAAATGTGTTTTTTGTTGTCATAACATTCACTTATGTGTTATTTTCAAATTTAATGATTGTACAACAAGTTTTAGAGTTAGTACACCTATAAAATGTAAACTTCTTGATGATTAAAAGACATTTTCCTTTAGTGATAAAATATATTTTATGTTGAACATCACACTATTTTCTTGTTTCAAGGTTGCAAGGTCTGTATCAGCAGCTTTAAATAACTGTGTTAACTGCCTGCCTGGACAGAGGGATGTTGATGATGCAATTCGTAACATTACCGAAGCCACTCAAGCTTTGAATGCTCAAGAAGTATGTTTAAATTTGAGTTTTGTAGAGAAAAAAAAAGTTTGTTTTTGGTCATACTGGTTAAACTATTGTAACATATATTTCATTTTAAAATTATACTTATATTCTAGGTACTTACTATTATAAATACACTTGTGGTTTGTGTGTGTGTGTATATATATATATTCATGAATTAAAAAGTAAATTTATGTCTAGTTATTATTGTAAAAAATAATTAAAACAAAATGTTCCTAATTGAATCACTTTTGTTTGGTTATTTTGTAATTGTTTAGTTTATAATCCAAAGGTGCATTACAAATCTTACTGTATAAATAAAAAGCTACTATATGTTATTGAGAAAATGATATGTTTCTTAATTTCAGTTGAACCAATAAAGTTGAAGCTACAAGTAATGTAAAACAAAGTATTAGTAACTTCAGTATTGTTGGATTTAGCATTAACATCTTTACACTTTTAGTTCCCAAGCTCCAATCGATCATATGGTGAACTCCAAAGTAACTTGAATTCAGCAGCTGCCACCTTAAACAGTGAAGTAGCTAATGTGATGGAGGCTTCTAAAGGTTCACCAAGTAAACTAGCCGTCTCTGCCAAAAACTTTGGAAATGCTTTTGGTGATTTACTGGATTGTGGAATGGAAATTATTGGGCAAACAAAAGTAAGTTTGTTGTTCCAAATCTTTTATTTTACTCATATTATTTCTTTTGTTGTACTATAATGTGTGTGTAAAGTTTAGTGGATAGAGCAGTTGATTTAAAAAAAAAAATTAGAGGAGCACCTTTAGAAGGAGAACCATGTTCACTTTGTTAATCGGCTGATAGTAACAAGATCATTTTATACGCGTCTCCACAGGATTCAGAAGTACATGGGCAAATGGTGGTAAGCTTGAAGAATGTGTCAATGGTATCAAGCAAGTTACTAGTCGCAGCTAAATCTGTTGCTGCTGATCCTGGTGCTCCTAATGCTAAGAACCAGTTAGCACTTGCTGCAAGGTGAGTCTCTTTTATTCATACGTAACTTTTAGTTGAAACTTTATTTTATAAGATAATTCTGCAAGTGGTTGTGTGAATAGGTTACTGCTTCATTGATGAAATCATATGATGTTGTAACATATAGAAATCTTTATTTGTTTGGAAGACTTAAATCTATTTTTTCAGTGTAATACTCTGGTAACAGGCAGAACCAAGCTAAAGTAAGCTATGGTTACTATTACAGTTAGTTTTGCTGGACAAGTTGCTTCTTCAATGGATTGTAAGTATAACTGTAGGGTGTTACTGAACCTTAGAAAATAAACATTTACTTGTTTTGATTCTAGAGCTGTGACAGTAAGTATCAACCATCTGATAAATACGTGCACATCTACAGCACCTGGTCAGAAGGAATGTGACAGTGCAATCAGAAATATTCAGGTAAATATTCAGAGATATAAAACCTATAAATTTGTACTGTAGTATATAATGATATCAATAATGATGAAAAAAAAATAATGGTATTATTGTATATTCTTGATATTATTTACCAAATCTGTGTAATAAACAAAAAATAAAAGAAATACTTATCTCTTAACCCTTAGGTTAGCACCATGGCAGCAAATATATATATATCGAGTATGTGATAGTAACATATAGTTACAAAATTTTAGTGAATGAAAAAACTGAATGTGCCACTAAAATTAGTTGTTAATATAATTCTCAGTTATATATTAGTTAATATAATTCTTAGTTTGTAACAGGCTGTTTCATTAAACAAGTATTCCACCAAATTTTCCTTAACTTTTGCCTATGTTTAGGTTTGCAATAACTGGTCACCAATAAACTTCAGAAATTTCCTTTTAAAAACTTCCATGAACTTGAAACTTTGTGTGTGTTGAATTAATCAGTAATGGTCCTTTGTTTGTTAACTTTTTTCTTCTTTGTAAAAATCTGTTTTTCTTTTCTACATATTCTCATCTATGAATATAAATAATTTTGACACTAGATGATGAAGCCACTTTTGGAAAATCCTTCTGAAGGTATTAATGATTCTTCATACTTTGAATGCCTGGATAACATCATGGATAAGTCAAAGGTATGTAATGAAGTGTTTTTTTTTAACAAAAGCTGCTAGTAGCAGTAGTTTCAGATGTTTACATTAATTTCCCAGGATATTTAATTTTAAGCACTTATATAATATCAGTGCTTGTAAGTAGTTATTTAGTGTATCTGGAAATAAAATATTAAGTATATTTTATAGGTTCTTAAAGAGGGATGTATTTTCTGCATGTATTTTAAAGTTCAGTACTTAAAAATTCAGAGTTTCAGCTATAAGCAGATTAAAACAGTGTTTGTAATTGTAAATAAAGTTCTAACAAAAAGTAAATTTTTTTCTCCAGAAGGAAGTTTTTGTATTTTAATATATTACATCCAGAAGGAAGTTTTGTATTTTGATATATTACATCCAGAAGGAAGTTTTTGTATTTTGATATATTACATCCAGAGGGAAGTTTTTGTATTTTGATATATTACATATCAATTTAAAATTTTACTGAAGTAAATTTCATTTAACTGTATTAAATGATCAAGTCAATTAATCATCAGTGAATTGTAGCCATTTTTGGTTTGGTCAACAGAATCTTGGCGATGGCATGGCTGACATTGCAAATCATGCTAAGAAGAATGAACACGAGAAATTTGGTGAAGCAGTCAAAGATGTTTCAGAATCAATATCTGCTTTGATTGAAAATGCTGCTCAGGTGACTTCTGACTCTTTTTTTTATTTGTTTGATTTTTCCCAAAGGAAGATTTAGAGATTTGTGTTTTGCTCATTGCTGTTGTAGTGAACTAATTTTCAAATTCTCAGTTATATTTTATTCATTCTACAGATATGTGCAGTGAAATGAGTGTAATTTTGCTCAGTTTTTGACTAGGAAATTTATCATTTGATTTTTAAAATAACAAGTATGATAAGCTGAGTCTGAAATTTATTTTTAAATTGTTTGTGTTCATCATGTAAACCACTGCTTTGAATATTGAAATATTGTTTTAGTTCTGAATGTTGATTTTCTTACTCGTTTTATGAACTGAGGTTACGACTTCAAATATGAAAATAATTTTTCTCATATTTTCTTTAATCTATCAGGCAGCTTATCTTGTTGGTGTATCAGATCCTTCTAGTGTTGCAGGAAAATCGGGATTAGTGGACCTTGCACAGTTTGCTCGTGCTAACCAAGCGATACAAATGGCATGTCAGCAGCTGACTAATCAAACAAGTAATCAGCAGCAGGTAGGCCAGTGTATTTTTAATTTCCTTCTTTTGCTGTTTTTTAATTGTATTAGGAAATCTTTGAAATTAGGTTTAATTTCTTCAGGTACCAAAAGCTTTGAAACAATTCATATTTTTTGTTAGGTTATGAAAAGTTTAAGGAAATAACAACTTCAAATGATTTTCAACTAAAATGTTTTTATTTGACTTAATGCATAACCAGCATGATATTAAATATTACAATACACTAATTTTTGTGTCTATATAATTATATGCCTGTGAGACTGCTACTAATTAAATAGTAATATCAGGATTAATTTTGAAAAAAGAGGTTATTGGAAAATTAGATGAAGAAAAGTCATGGAAGTTGTTGGTAATCTTAACATTTACTTAAGATGTGCATGCATTGGCACTGTATTGAGGAATCCCATTAAGTATTTTGAAAAGTAACTATGCAGCGTAGAGTATCAATCAAATTGTATATCTTTCATGGTGTGTGTATTTTAAGGTCATATACTATGCTTTGAATCTAGATCAGTTTTGCAAGTTTCTTGTTCTACAGATTTTGTTACATCTATTTTCATATAATTAACAACTCATCTATTTTAGTCAAATATGAGTATTTTATCTATCCTAGTGGAACAGTTACTTTTTGAAGTCTACATAATTAGTACTATACAGAATCTATTATCAGTTTTTGTTTTTTTATTTTTACACGAACAGCTTAAATGTAGTAATAACTGAATTTTTTCTATAGGTTCTTTCTGCGGCTACAGTGATAGCCAAACATACGTCATCACTGTGCAATTCTTGTCGAGTTGCATCTTCTAAGACTAGTAATCCAGTTGCTAAACGACACTTTGTTCAGTCAGCCAAAGATTTGGCAAATGCGACTGCAAACTTAGTCAAGGAGATTAAGGTATGGTTGTGACTTGAGTTTCATTATTGTATGTATTGTATTTACTATAGTAAAAGGTTTATATTTATTGACCTAATGTTTGGTTACACATGCAGTTTACACTTTCACTGTGAACTAGTTTAGATCTAACACTTTGGATGTCTTGAATTAGACTTGTCAAATGCTCATTTTCCTAAAAATGTTTCTCAAAATTATTTATTATATTTGGACCCGAGTTGATTCCTAAGGTTGATTGATGAAGAAAAAATTATTGTTGGGCAAAGGTCATGGTATTAATAGGTTTTTGTTAAGATTATATTCATAAACATTATCTCTGTATGTTTTTAAATTTTTCGTTTCTTGTTTTTAAGGCACTGGACCAGGATCCCAGTGAAACAAACCGTCATAACTGTTCAGCTGCCACTAAGCCTTTGATTGAAGCTGTTGAGAGTCTAAATACATTTGCTAATTCCCCAGAATTTGCAAGTGTTCCAGCAAAAATCAGCCCAAAGGTAAAATATTAAAACATGAATTTTTTTTGTACATCATGTAAATGGTGGAGTTTGCAGTGAAAAACGGTTGTCAGAAGAAAAGTTTCTTGAGTTTTTGTAATTGTAATTGGAAACCTGGGTTTAAAAATTAAAAAATAGTTGAGTAAATTCTTTTGTACAACTATCAAAGAGTCTATCCAAATTATTCTGTGTCACGTATAAACAAAAACTATAATGTCGTGAATAATGGTTTCAGAATGTGACTGAAAGAGATTTACAAGTTTTTGATGGTATTTAACTTTTGACTTATAAAAGTTATGTTACTCTTTGTGAAAGTAATCCCAAGTTTAATAAAATGAATAATGGTTAATGTTTATTGTAATTTTGTATGTTATCTCCAACACAAGGAGTTTATTAAATTTACCTTACTATTTAAATCAATTACATGTTTTCAAGCTATTTTAACACACATTAAAAATAACCAACTCAGAATTCCTTTTGTCTGTTTGATATTTATTAGTTTTTATCTATGTATAATGCTGGAAGATGAGTTTTGTGCTAATGACAAGTGTTGAATAGATAATTTAAAAAAAAGTTAACTTAACGGCAAAGAAAATTATAAGCTTAAAGCAGAATATTAAGAAATATGCTTCAGGTATTTAGCAGCTCATCATGTGCACGAAGTAAAATGTGGTTGATCTGCAAACTTGTCATTAGTTGGATTTAAAGTTTGATAAAGGTTTTCTTTGTTGTGACTTTTCCACTTGACTAAAACAGATTAATTTAATTTAAGTGATGAATTTCTCAAACACTGCAGGCTCAAGAAGCTCAGGAACCCATTATTTCAGCTGGAAAGTCTATCATTGATGGTTCTTGCAACATGATTGAAACAGCAAAGTCCCTTTCTCTCAAGCCTCAAGATCCTCCCTCATGGCAGGCATTGGCTGGGTACAGCAATGACGTTTCTGATGCTATTAAGAAGTTAGTCTCTTCCATCAAGTAAGTGATTTAAGCTCTTATTTCATTAAAATTAAGGAAAATGGGAAAAAGTAATTGTATTTTGTTAGCTTTACAATGTATAACAAATCATTGGATTACCAAAAATATATTAGATCTTTGCAAGGTGACACAGAAAAAAACTTCATTTTGAGTTTTATTGTATTAAACTATATATATGTATATGGGGGGGGGGATGTGATATACATACAAAATTCCATTTAACCCTCTCACCCCAGGTATCTTTTATTGCACATGACACAAGGTTTTAGTGTCTTACATTAAAAATTTTATTAAACTACTTTTTGTTTATGTTGTACCAATTAGTATAGCATAAAATCTTAGCTAATAATCCATATTTTAACAATATATAAGTTTAAAATTTTATAAAGCAATATTTTAAAAAATCCTGAATTTCCCCTAGTGTGAGAAATGTGACATATTTTCTCTAGGCATCCCCTCTTCTCTATTTTATTCACCACCCCTCCAATAAGTACGAAATTTAACATAAAGTACTCACTATATACTCGTCATTGCTCAGACAAACCATAATTTTTATTGTCTTAATTTTGTTTGGTTACAGATTTTTTGTATGTGAAAGGCTAATAATGTTCACTGAAAGACTGCCAAATTTTGTGAATATATATAAACACTATATCAAAAGTTAGTGGTATCAAATCAATAAAGACTATATGAGTACAAAAAGGTCACATGGTCAGTCAAATTGACTGAGCCCATGTGGAGGGAGTTAATTAGTAGAAACTATTTGTTTATTCACTGTTGATTTTTTTTTGGGTGAAATATTTCAATGTATAAAATAATGATAAGAGAAACAAATTGTCATGGATTTTATTGTATTAAACAGTATGTATATATGTATATATATGGTGGGGGATGTAATATACATTTAAAATTCTATTTAACTAGTTGTAGAAACTATTTGTTGATTCGCTGGTCATTTTTTTTTTGTGTGAAATATTTCAGGGTATAGAGAAGTGATAAGAGAAATCAAAGTGTTTGACCTGAATGTAAAACCTATTTTTTAATATCAGATACTCCATTTCTTTTTTTATTAATGCTCCTACATATGGAAAATTAATTTCACATATTAAATATTATACATGTTTCATTTTTATTGGGGGCCCGACATGGCCAGGTGGTTAGGGTGTTTGACTCACAATCTGAGGGTCGTGGGTTCGAATCCCCGTCCCACCAAACATGCTCGCCCTTTCAGTCATGGGGCATTATAATGTGAC